ACTCGCACACGGCTGAAACGTTCGTACCAAAAGAAAAGTAGTACGTGGGAAAAATGGCTTTTGATGGCAAAGAGGCTATCTTTTGGGTGCATTATGCTGTGCGGACCGCGACTGGCAAAAATTATGTTTGTGTACTTGATCCTTGACGTGGTATGTTCGAGGCTAATGTGTCCTTGCAGAGACCCAGTTTACTGGAGAGGAGTCACTGCCCAGGATGTTATCAATCATATTTGTGAATACTATCCTGAAGCAATTGAGATTTTTCAGCTTCTTGATCCGGTCGTGAGAAGTCTTCTGACTCATGAAAGCGTGTTGCCTCAGATAAACTTAGGGGAAGTAGCTGACCGTATTGATAAGTACATCGGGAAATCCCAGGCTGTCAGCTGAACAAGATCGCCAGTGATATCACGAATTTTCAAGAATGCGGCTTCAAGGACATAGTTCATTCATCAAACGTTGAATTTCTCATTAGCTAGGCTGTTTGTGTATCTCACTTTTAAGTTCCAGGCCAAAATTGAACATACCAGTATATTGTCAATGGTTGGCAGAAAGAATGGATAAAGTCAGACTCCTATTTGAGTTTCTTTATCCGTAAAGTTTCTATCTAGGATTTGGTGTTTCCTCTGTGTATAGGAAGAGCCTACTGCAAGTTGGCTTCTACAGCAATTGCTGCGGTTTTCTTGCTACACATACCATTGCCATAAAATGTGACAGTCGTTCCTGTGCCGCTATAGAGTCAAATAGATGTAAATCCTTTAAAAAAATACTTGAAAAAAACATCTCCTGAAAATATAGCAGACGTTGATGCTAACATTTGGCTTTTTGCTCTCTCCCCATGTCAACACATTAGTAAATCAAGAATTCCGCGCTAACTTCGAGGATGGATGTTGGAGCCGACGTAGTGCACTGCGAAGATTGCATAAAGCAATGCATATTTTACTCGATATATCACTCGATTCTGTTCTGCGTTCCGATTTTGCTGCCGCGATCCAGTTTGCTGCTGCGATCCGATTTGGTATGCCTCTCAGGACTGAATAATATAGATAATGTCCCCTGTCGTCTCCTACATCCTTTGTACCTGCATCTCTTGTCATTTAATTTATGTGATATACAAGACTCTCAGACTACAAAAAAAATGAAATTCGATAGACTGGAAGATTTAATAGTTCCGTGCAAAATGTCTCTAGACACCATACCGCCGGAGATTTATCAGATGATCTTGAAAGAGGTAAATACTTTGTCCTGTGTTAGAACCATAGATCTCTAACTTTAATAGATATCGAATCCACGG